GGACAGGTGGGACAGGTGAGACAGGTGAGAGACAGGGGGGACAGGTGAGACAGGTGAGAGACAGGTGGGACAGGTGAGAGACAGGGGGGACAGGGGAGACAGGGGAGATGGACAGGTGAGACAGGTGAGACGGACAGGTGAGGGACAGGTGGGACAGGTGAGACAGGTGAGACAGGTGAGATACAGGTGGGACAGGTGAGGGACAGGTGAGAGAGGTGAGACAGGTGAGAGACAGGTGAGACAGGTGAGACAGGTGAGGGACAGGTGAGGGACAGGTAGGACAGGTGGGACAGGTGAGAGACAGGTGAGAGAGGAGGGACAGGTGGGACAGGTGAGGGACAGGTGAGACAGGTGAGAGACAGGTGAGACAGGTGAGACAGGTGCGACAGGTGGGACAGGTGAGGGACAGGTGAGACAGGTGAGAGACAGGTGAGACAGGTGAGGGACAGGTGAGAGAGGAGGGACAGGTGGGACAGGTGAGATACAGGTGAGACAGGTGAGAGATCAGGGACAGGTGGGACAGGTGAGACAGGTGAGGGACAGGTGAGACAGGTGGGACAGGTGAGATGGACAGGTGGGACAGGTGAGACAGGTGAGGGACAGGTGGGACAGGTGAGATACAGGTGAGAGATGGACAGATGAGATACATGTGAGATACAGGTGAGGGACAGATGAGACAGGTGGGATACATGTGAGACAGGTGGGACAGGTGAGACACAGGTGAGATATGGATAGGTAAGACAGATGAGATACAGGTGAGATAGGTGAGATATGGATAGGTAAGACAGGTGAGGAACAGGTGAGAGATGGACAGGGGAGGGATGGACAGGTGAGATGAGAGAGATGAGGGACAGGTGAGACAGGTGAGGTAAGGACAGGTGAGACATTGACACATGGACAGGGGACATGAGTGAGACAGACAGGTGTGGGAACTAAACCAGTACAAACCAGTATAAACCACTCCAAACCAGTGCTCCCAGTCCAAACCAGTATACCCCAGTCCAAACCAGTATACCCCAGTCCAAACCAGTATACCCCAGTCCAAACCAGTATACCCCAGTCCAAACCAGTATACCCCAGTCCAAACCAGTATACCCCAGTCCAAACCAGTATACCCCAGTCCAAACCAGTATACCCCAGTCCAAACCAGTATACCCCAGTCCAAACCAGTATACCCCAGTCCAAACCAGTATACCCCAGTCCAAACCAGTATACCCCAGTCCAAACCAGTATACCCCAGTCCAAACCAGTATACCCCAGTCCAAACCAGTATACCCCAGTCCAAACCAGTATACCCCAGTCCAAACCAGTATACCCCAGTCCAAACCAGTATAACCCAGTATAACCAGTACCCGCTGTCCAGGATGGGCCCGATGCTCTACAGCCCACACCAGTATAACCAGTACTCCCAGTATAACCAGTATAACCCAGTATAACCCAATATAACCACTATAAACTACTCCACACCAGTCCAAACCAGTATAACCCAGTCCAAACCAGTATAACCCAGTATAACCAGTACCCGCTGTCCAGGATGGGCCCGATGCTCTACAGCCCACACCAGTGTTTGTTCACTCAGCACTGCAAACCTAGCAAAACAAGAACTAATTCTGGAAATCTGTGGTATGATTCAAGCTTGAACTGAACTACTCCCAACACACCTTTGTCTTCCTTTGCAGCACCTTTGTCTTCCTTTGCATCAGGTTTTTCAAGCAAACTCAAGTTCAAAGTGGTTTCTTGAGGTTGAGGTGAGGGAGTTTTTTTCTTTTCATTTTGCTGTTGGTTTGAAATCTTTATAGCTGGATTAAATACTGGATGTTCCTCAAGTGCTGCCATTTCTGTCAGAGAGAGAATATAATTTATACCCACCAACTGCTTAAGAAACAACTATATTAATTCATACCGAGTACTCAAAACCAAAACTAGTGACATTTTACTGACTTTTTAGAATTCGACCAAGAAAGAAGAGATTCAGAAAAGCCTTCATGTCACAGAGTGGCATAAAAGACAAGGAAATTATCTTCAATTCAACCTGACTCCAAGATTTAATTGCCTAACAAACATGCAGGCCAGAAAATAAAACACAGGTAACTTGCATAGCTCTACCTTGTTGAATTCTTCTTATTTTTTCTTGCGCTGCCTTCTGGCCTTGCTTGTCTTTGTCTTGCTTGGAGATGCTTGCTTGCTCTTTTGCTTCTGAAAGCTTGGCAGACAGATGCATATACCTCTCATTCTATTTCAAACAGAATTATTAATTACAAGTTGGATATGGTATGCTTGTCACTTTCAATGATCTTCATAATAAAGTGTGGCTTTTTACCCTTTATATCATGCTTATGCAATGGAGCAACAATGAGTTTTTATTTAACTAACAGTCTCCCAGAATTTGATAGTAACTCACTCAATCTGATGGAAATGTATTTTAAATTTTTCTTTCCCACATATTACATTCAACATTTTCAACGCAGTACAAATAATAAGGGAAAGGAAAAACAACTTAGAAAAGAAGCAGCTCCAACAGGTTTTCCTTCAGTACCTTGACACATTACTGGTAAACATGAAAGGTTTTCAATCCCCAATTTGTAACACACAAATCCACCACATGCAGATGTACCAGACAAATCAGTTTTCAGAAAGACTTCCATGAAGCATTTTTCTGTCTTACTGGGTCAAATTTTTCTTCATCTGTCTCTTTGACAGGCTCGTCCTTCTCTTCATCACTCTGTTGCTCAGCGTATCGCAAAATCCATTCCTTCATAGTCAATTCTTTCTCTTTCCTCACATTCATTTCCTAAGAAGAGCAATATAAGTTAAAAGTAATGATAACGTATGTGGAAGCAATGCTTTCTTCTGCCAGTGCCTAGGAACTACTATTAAGGTTTTATACATTATATATGTACATAGAGAATAAAAAAAAAAAGGCTTTCCGAACCAGAGTGAAAATTCTACTATACACCTAAATAGATCTTAACACTAGAATAACTATAATTACTATAAAGAATGAAATAATTTGCAGGGATTTTGTTTTCTGGTTTAAGATTAAATATCCACAGAAATCAAAACACTGACAATACAGGCACACTTAAACCCTCATAAGTCATAGAGAGTACCACATATACATAAATAGAATAAAGCCATTATAGGATAAAAATTAAGAAATTAAGCTATAGAATCATAGAATGGCTTGCATTAGGAGGGACCTTAGAGGTCATCTAGTTCCAACCTCCCTGCTATAGGCTGGGACACCTTTTACTAGGCCAGGTTGCTCAGAGCCCTATCCAGCCTGGCCTTGAACACTGCCAGGAATGGGGCATCAGCAGCTTCTCAGGGCAACCTATTCCAGTATCTCATCACCCCCACAGAAAACAATTTCTTCCTAATACCTAATCTCAATCTCATGAGATTTCCTGTGCTTTACCACAAAAATAAACTATGAAGAACCTTCTAGACTCCACAGGAAAAACACCTTTAAATTATCATTCCACTAAAATTAAAATGCAGGTGTCAGTTATTAATCACATAACATTTTCATAAGCTTTTCACATCAGTGCTGGAAACCAATGCAACACCTGTGTTTTAGAAAGTTTTGCTTCTCTTCCCCCCCGCATCCGCTGATCCAAGTAACTACCAATTAGATTTTTAGATTACCTTAGTTCCAGGGCCATTTTCTTTCTTTTTGTTATCTTCTAAGTGAGGTGGCATACCACACTGTGACACAGCAGAACAAAACTTTGCTCTAGGTTTCTGCTGCTGTTCTTCAAATTGCTGGCTAAAACCTTCAGGCAAGGCGTCTTCAAAATAAAAAAAGAAAAAACATGTCACAGAACATATCAATAATAATTACAAGAAAATACTTTAAAACTGTGTTGGGAACCAACTAGAAGAACACAAACTGAAATAAAAGTTAGGTTTTAGCATTTATATAAAATAGTATTATTTGCTCACTGGACATCCACAGAACTCTAAGTGTAGGAATGTGAAGACCACAAGACTTCATGCACTAGAATACAACAGAACCAGTCAACTGCGCATCTAGGAGAGCAACATGTTGCAACTAGTAGTCTCAGAGGAACATTATATTTAATACTATTACGAAGCAGTAATGCTACTGCTTAGTAGGTCCTATTTCTCTTCTGTCAAAAACTATTTTCTGTAACCATACTCACCATTGGGAAGGTTTAAACAAAGCCAGTCAAGCGCAGAGTGGAGATCACCCCCATAAAGAAGCGTATTTTTCATTGCTTCTTCAATGTGCTCAGTCTTAAAAGAGAATCTTTGTAAAGCCATGTATACATCCTACAAATAACAGAGCCAAAAGATTAGGATTTAATCTAGCAATCTAATATAGGTTTTTAAAGTTCTATTTCCCACATATCAGAAAGCCAGTATTAAAAGGTAATAAACACTGTGCATTAATGTATCCAAAAATTTAGCAGAAAATTCTGTTTTGCAGAATTTCTATTTCCTTTTTAAATATGCATGCATAGGTATCAATAAATCTATATTCCTGCCTCTCTCTACACAATGTGCTTTCTAGCTAAGTAAAGACATACCTCCAATTTTCCAGGTAATAGAGTAAAAAATGTAGGAAACCTAAACCGTTCAGATTAAGTATTATTCCTCTATGTTGTCTGAAAGCTCTTGATTTTAGTTCCTGAATCCATAAAGATGTGCCTTTCCTAATAAGCATGCTTCTTGATTTCAGTGACTAATCATCAATACAACTACTGAAAAGCATGCCATATTGGCTTGTACCACACACAATACAATTGTGTAATACACACAAGCGCAATATGACACTTGATAAAAATGACAAAAGATAAACTACTCTAAATAAATAATGAAAAATAAGAAAAATAAGATCTTGAACTGTACCTGTAGTTTCTTTGCACTTAGTCTTTTGGAAATCAATCCTTTGTCCTCATTTTGGTTTTTATGATTATTAATCACATCGATAATCCTTTTCTCCAAATTGCCATTTATTGTTACCTGCAAACAAAAAATGAGTTGATACAAGGTAAACTTCGGAAGATAACCCAGTCCAAACCAGTATAAACCAGTATAAACCAGTACCCGCTGTCCAGGATGGGCCCGATGCGCTGCAGTCCCACCAGTATAACCCAGTATAACCACTATAAACCATTATAACCCAAGATAACCCACTAAAACCAGTCCAAACCACTCCAAACCAGTATAACCCAGTCCAAACCAGTATAAACCAGTATAAACCAGTATAAACCAGTACCCGCTGTCCAGGATGGGCCCGATGCGCTGCAGTCCCACCAGTATAACCCAGTATAACCACTATAAACCATTATAACCCAATATAACCCACTAAAACCAGTCCAAACCACTCCAAACCAGTATAACCCAGTCCAAACCAGTATAAACCAGTAAGAACCAGTACCCGCTGTCCAGGATGGGCCCGATGCGCTGCAGTCCCACCAGTATAACCCAGTATAAACCATTATAACCCAATATAACCCAGTAAAACCAGTCCAAACCACTCCAAACCAGTATAACCCAGTCCAAACCAGTATAAACCAGTATAAACCAGTAAGAACCAATACCCGCTGTCCAGGATGGGCCCGATGCGCTGCAGGGACTTGGCCACGTTGAAGCGAACGTTGGCCACGGCGTCGGCGGCCATGCGCAGCACGGTGGGCAGCATCTGCGTGGTGGTCACCTCCTGGCCACACACCTCGGACAACACCTGTGCAGGTGAGACAGGAGAGATGGGACAGGTGTGACAGGGACAGGTGAGATGGGACCAGGGACAGGTGGGACAGGTGAGACACAGGGGAGACAGGTGAGACATGGACAGGAACTGGGGACATCCATCGCTCCTGCCCAGGTGTGTTCCCATCCCTCTCAGGTGTGCTCAGATGCCCCCAGGGACGCCCAGGTGTGTTCCTACCCCCCTCAGATGAATCCCAGGTGTGCTGTGGGTGGAGCCAGGCGTGGCTTTATCCCCCTCAGGTGTGCCCAGGTGTGTTCCTACCCCCCTCAGATGAATCCCAGGTGTGCTGTGGGTGGAGCCAGGCGTGGCTTTATCCCCCTCAGGTGTGCCCAGGTGTGTTCCTACCCCCCTCAGATGAATCCCAGGTGTGCTGTGGGTGGAGCCAGGCGTGGCTTTATCCCCCTCAGGTGTGCCCAGGTGTGTTCCTACCCCCCTCAGATGAATCCCAGGTGTGCTGTGGGTGGAGCCAGGCGTGGCTTTATCCCCCTCAGGTGTGCCCAGGTGTGTTCCTACCCCCCTCAGATGAATCCCAGGTGTGCTGTGGGTGGAGCCAGGCGTGGCTTTATCCCCCTCAGGTGTGCCCAGGTGTGTTCCTACCCCCCTCAGATGAATCCCAGGTGTGCTGTGGGTGGAGCCAGGCGTGGCTTTATCCCCCTCAGGTGTGCCCAGGTGTGTTCCTACCCCCCTCAGATGAATCCCAGGTGTGCTGTGGGTGGAGCCAGGCGTGGCTTTATCCCCCTCAGGTGTGCCCAGGTGTGTTCCTACCCCCCTCAGATGAATCCCAGGTGTGCTGTGGGTGGAGCCAGGCGTGGCTTTATCCCCCTCAGGTGTGCCCAGGTGTGTTCCTACCCCCCTCAGATGAATCCCAGGTGTGCTGTGGGTGGAGCCAGGCGTGGCTTTATCCCCCTCAGGTGTGCCCAGGTGTGTTCCTACCCCCCTCAGATGAATCCCAGGTGTGCTGTGGGTGGAGCCAGGCGTGGCTTTATCCCCCTCAGGTGTGCCCAGGTGTGTTCCTACCCCCCTCAGATGAATCCCAGGTGTGCTGTGGGTGGAGCCAGGCGTGGCTTTATCCCCCTCAGGTGTGCCCAGGTGTGTTCCTACCCCCCTCAGATGAATCCCAGGTGTGCTGTGGGTGGAGCCAGGCGTGGCTTTATCCCCCTCAGGTGTGCCCAGGTGTGTTCCTACCCCCCTCAGATGAATCCCAGGTGTGCTGTGGGTGGAGCCAGGCGTGGCTTTATCCCCCTCAGGTGTGCCCAGGTGTGTTCCTACCCCCCTCAGATGAATCCCAGGTGTGCTGTGGGTGGAGCCAGGCGTGGCTTTATCCCCCTCAGGTGTGCCCAGGTGTGTTCCTACCCCCCTCAGATGAATCCCAGGTGTGCTGTGGGTGGAGCCAGGCGTGGCTTTATCCCCCTCAGGTGTGCCCAGGTGTGTTCCTACCCCCCTCAGATGAATCCCAGGTGTGCTGTGGGTGGAGCCAGGCGTGGCTTTATCCCCCTCAGGTGTGCCCAGGTGTGTTCCTACCCCCCTCAGATGAATCCCAGGTGTGCTGTGGGTGGAGCCAGGCGTGGCTTTATCCCCCTCAGGTGTGCCCAGGTGTGTTCCTACCCCCCTCAGATGAATCCCAGGTGTGCTGTGGGTGGAGCCAGGCGTGGCTTTATCCCCCTCAGGTGTGCCCAGGTGTGTTCCTACCCCCCTCAGATGAATCCCAGGTGTGCTGTGGGTGGAGCCAGGCGTGGCTTTATCCCCCTCAGGTGTGCCCAGGTGTGTTCCTACCCCCCTCAGATGAATCCCAGGTGTGCTGTGGGTGGAGCCAGGCGTGGCTTTATCCCCCTCAGGTGTGCCCAGGTGTGTTCCTACCCCCCTCAGATGAATCCCAGGTGTGCTGTGGGTGGAGCCAGGCGTGGCTTTATCCCCCTCAGGTGTGCCCAGGTGTGTTCCTACCCCCCTCAGGTGCCCCCAGGTGCCCCCAGGTGTGTTCCAATCCCTCTCAGGTGCCGTGAGACAGGTGAGACATGGACAGGGACTGGGGACATCCATCGCTCATGCCCAGGTGTGTTCCCATCCCTCTCAGGTGTGCTCAGATGCCCCCAGGTACGCCCAGGTGTGTTCCTACCCCCCTCAGATGTATCCCAGGTGTGCTGTGGGTGTGCCCAGGTGTGCCCAGGTGTGGTTCTATCCCCCTCAGGTGTATCCCAGGTGTGCTGTGGGTGTACCCAGGTGTGCCCAGGTGTGGTTCTATCCCCCTATTGATGCAGAAGAGCGTGGTCATGCGGTGCAGGTAGTTGGGGTCGGCGGCCATGGCCAGCACCTTGGGCACGATGGTGCCCTGCGCCCAGGTGTGCCCAGGTGTGCTCAGGTGTGCCCCCAGGTACCCACGTTGATGCAGAAGAGCGTGGTCATGCGGTGCAGGTAGTTGGGGTCGGCGGCCATGGCCAGCACCTTGGGCACGATGGTGCCCTGCTATGGAGTGTGCCCGAAGCGCTCCACCAGCTTGCGCAGGTTACTGGTGGCGGCCTCGCGGATGGCGTACACTGCGGGGAACCAGTACGGACCAGTAAGGACCAGTATGGACCAGTGTAAACCAGTAAGGACCAGTGTAAACCAGTAAGGACCAGTACAGACCAGTAAGGACCAGTACGGACCAGTATGGACCAGTAAGGACCAGTATGGACCAGTAAAAACCGGTATGGACCAGTATGGAGCAGTAAGGAGCAGTATGGACCAGTAAGGACCAGTATGGACCAGTAAGGACCAGTATGGACCAGTAAAGACCAATAAGGACCAGTAAAAACCAGTACGGACCAGTACAGACTGGTATGGAACAGTATGGACCAATATGGACCAGTAAGGACCAGTATGGACCAGTAAGGACCAGTACGGACCAGTAAGGACCAGTACGGACCAGTAAGGACCAGTATGGACCAGTAAAAACCAGTACGGACCGGGATGGACCGGTATGGACCAGTGCCGACCAGTATGGAGCAGTATGGAGCAGTATGGACCAGTAAGGACCAGTAAAGACCAATAAGGACCAGTAAGGACCAGTATGGACCAGTAAGGACCAGTACGGACCAGTAAGGACCAGTACGGACCAGTATGGACCAGTATGGACCAGTATGGACCAGGAGGGAGCAGTATAGACTAGTATAAACCAGTGTGGACCAGTACAGACCAGTAAGGACCAGTATAAACCAGTACGGACCAGTACACACTGGTATGGACCAGTATGGACCAGTGTAAACCAGCACGGACCAGTATGGAGCAGTATAAATCAATATACATCAGTATGGACCAGTATAAACCAGCACGAACCAGTATGGACCAGTATAAATCAATATAAATCAGTATGGACCAGTATAAACCGGTATGGACCAGTAAGGACCAGTATAAACCAGTATGGACCAGTAATAATCAGTATAAACCAGTCTGGACCAGTACGAAGCGGTATAAACCGATATAGATCAGTACAAACCAGTACGGACCAGTCTGAACTGGTATGGACCAGTACAGACCAGTACGGACCAGTATAAACCAGTATGGACCAGTACACACCAATACCACCCACCCTCAGCACCCAGTAACCCTCCCAGTAGCTCCCAGTCCCCTCCCAGTCCCTCCCAGTCCCTCCCAGTCCCCTCCCAGTCCCTCCCAGTATAAACCAGTCCCCCCCAGTACCGTGATCCACCAGCCAGGCCATGCAGAGCGAGTTCAGCTTCTCATCGAAGAACTCCACGCCCTGCGAGGGGGAGACACCAGTATGGACCAGTAAGGACCAGCACGGACCAGTATAAACCAATACAAACCAGTAAGGACCAATACAAAACAGTATGGACTAGTACAAACCAGTAAGGACCAGTATGGACCAGTATAAACCAATACAAACCAGGAAGGACCAATACAAACCAGTATGGACTAGTACAAACCAGTAAGGACCAGTATGGACCAGTATAAACCAGTACAAACCAGTACAAAACAGTAAAGACCAGTGTGCACCAGTATACACTAGTACAAACCAGTATGGGCCAGTATAAACCAACCTACATCGCTACAGACCAGTTTAAACCAGCACAAACCAGTACGCACCAGTATAAACCAATATGGATGACTAGACACAAATTTCTCCCAGTATATCCCAGTTCATCCCAGTCCATCCCAGTTCATCCCAGTCCATCCCAGTCCCCCCCAGCCCTCTCCCAGTCCATCCCAGTCCATCCCAGTCCATCCCAGTCCTCTCCCAGTCCCCCCCAACCCTCTCCCAGTCCCTCCCAGTCCCCTCCCAGTCCCGGTATGGACCAGTAAGGACCAGTATAAACCAGTACGGACCAGTACACACTGGTATGGACCAGTATGGACCAGTGTAAACCAGCACGGACCAGTATGGAGCAGTATAAATCAATATACATCAGTATGGACCAGTATAAACCGGTATGGACCAGTAAGGACCAGTATAAACCAGTACGGACCAGTACACACTGGTATGGACCAGTATGGACCAGTGTAAACCAGCACGGACCAGTATGGAGCAGTATAAATCAATATACATCAGTATGGACCAGTATAAACCGGTATGGACCAGTAAGGACCAGTATAAACCAGTACGGACCAGTACACACTGGTATGGACCAGTATGGACCAGTGTAAACCAGCACGGACCAGTATGGAGCAGTATAAATCAATATACATCAGTATGGACCAGTATAAACCGGTATGGACCAGTAAGGACCAGTATAAACCAGTACGGACCAGTACACACTGGTATGGACCAGTATGGACCAGTGTAAACCAGCACGGACCAGTATGGAGCAGTATAAATCAATATACATCAGTATGGACCAGTATAAACCGGTATGGACCAGTAAGGACCAGTATAAACCAGTACGGACCAGTACACACTGGTATGGACCAGTATGGACCAGTGTAAACCAGCACGGACCAGTATGGAGCAGTATAAATCAATATACATCAGTATGGACCAGTATAAACCGGTATGGACCAGTAAGGACCAGTATAAACCAGTACGGACCAGTACACACTGGTATGGACCAGTATGGACCAGTGTAAACCAGCACGGACCAGTATGGAGCAGTATAAATCAATATACATCAGTATGGACCAGTATAAACCGGTATGGACCAGTAAGGACCAGTATAAACCAGTATGGACCAGTAATAATCAGTATAAACCAGTCTGGACCAGTACGAAGCGGTATAAACCGATATAGATCAGTACAAACCAGTACGGACCAGTCTGAACTGGTATGGACCAGTACAGACCAGTACGGACCAGTATAAACCAGTATGGACCAGTACACACCAATACCACCCACCCTCAGCACCCAGTAACCCTCCCAGTAGCTCCCAGTCCCCTCCCAGTCCCTCCCAGTCCCTCCCAGTCCCCTCCCAGTCCCTCCCAGTATAAACCAGTCCCCCCCAGTACCGTGATCCACCAGCCAGGCCATGCAGAGCGAGTTCAGCTTCTCATCGAAGAACTCCACGCCCTGCGAGGGGGAGACACCAGTATGGACCAGTAAGGACCAGCATGGACCAGTATAAACCAGTACAAACCAGTAAGGACCAATACAAAACAGTATGGACTAGTACAAACCAGTAAGGACCAGTATGGACCAGTATAAACCAATACAAACCAGTAAGGACCAATACAAAACAGTATGGACTAGTACAAACCAGTAAGGACCAGCATGGACCAGTATAAACCAATACAAACCAGTAAGGACCAATACAAAACAGTATGGACTAGTACAAACCAGTAAGGACCAGTATAGACCAGTATAAACCAATCCAAACAAGGAAGGAACAATACAAAACAGTATGGACTAGTACAAACCAGTAAGGGCCAGTATGGACCAGTATAACCCAATACAAACCAGTAAGGACCAGTATAGACCAGTATAAACCAATACAAACCAGGAAGGACCAATACAAACCAGTAAGGACCAGTATGGACCAGTATAAACCAGTACAAACCAGTACAAAACAGTAAGGACCAGTGTGCACCAGTATACACTAGTACAAACCAGTATGGGCCAGTATAAACCAACCTACATCGCTACAGACCAGTTTAAACCAGCACAAACCAGTACGCACCAGTATAAACCAATATGGATGACTGGAAACAAATTTCTCCCAGTATATCCCAGTTCATCCCAGTGCCCCATACAAGTCTCTAACTCCCTCCCAGTATATCCCAGTCCCCTCCCAGTCCATCCCAGTCCCCTCCCAGTCCATCCCAGTCCTCTCCCAGTCCCCTCCCAGTCCATCCCAGTCCATCCCAGTCCCCTCCCAGTCCATCCCAGTCCATCCCAGTCCTCTCCCAGTCCCCTCCCAGTCCATCCCAGTCCCCTCCCAGTCCATCCCAGTCCCCTCCCGTCCATCCCAGTCCATCCCAGTCCATCCCAGTCCCCTCCCAGTCCATCCCAGTCCCCTCCCGTCCATCCCAGTATATCCCAGTCCTCTCCCAGTCCCTCCCAGTCCCCTCCCAGTCCATCCCAGTCCCTCCCAGTCCCCTCCCGTCCATCCCAGTCTATCCTGGGAGGAGCCTAGAGCTGTGTATGAGGGGACTGGGAGGGACTGGGAATGACTGGGAGGGACTGGGAGAGAACTGGGAAGGACTGGGAGGGAACTGGGAGGGACTGGGAGTTACTGGGAGGAAGCTGCAGTTCACAAAGTCGCCACCAGAGGGAGCCGCAAACACACTGGGAATGCATTAGGGGGAACTGGGAGGGACTAAGAGGGAACTGGGATGGACTGGGAGCGACTGGGAGAGGATTTGGGGTCACTGGTTTATACTGGGACGGGCTGGGAAGAACTGGGAGGAAGCTGCAGTTCACAAAGTCGCCACCAGGGGGAGACACCGGGAATGCCCTGTATCCCCAGCTGTGCCCAGGTGTGTGCCCATCTATCTCTATGTGTTTCTATGCACTCCCAGGTGTGCCCAGGTGCCCCCAGGTGCGCCCAGGTGCGCTCACCTCGTCCTTGAGCTGCGCCAGGAACAGCGGCAGCAGGTGCTCCACCGTGTTGTCCTTGCCCAGGATCGGGGACAGCCCCATGATCACCGAGGCCAGCGCCGACTTCACGTGCTGGTTGGCGTCCGACACCAGCTCCTGCCCAGGTGGCACGGGTGGTGCAGGTGAGCTCACCTGGCCTCGGGGGCGGGGGCTCAGGGTGGCGCTGAGGCCACCTGGGTGGGACAAAGGTGGCCCCAGAGTGCCACGCCCCCCCCAGGGTGTGCCCAGGTGTATCCCAGGTGTGCCCCAGGTGTGTCCCAGGTGTATCCCAGGTGTGCCCAGGTGTGTCCCAGGTGTGCCCAGGTGTATCCCAGGTGTGCCCAGGTGTGTCCCAGGTGTGCCCCAGGTGTGCCCAGGTGTGACTCCAGGTGTGCCTAGGTGTGACCCTAGGTGGGCCGAGGTGTGACCCCAGGTGTGCCCAGGTGCATCTCAGGTATATCCCAGGTGTGCCCAGGTGCATCTCAGGTGTATCCCAGGTGCCCCCAGGTGTGCCCAGGTGTATCCCAGGTGTGCCCAGGTGTATCCCAGGTGCCCCCAGGTGTGCCCAGGTGCGCTCACCTCGTCCTTGAGCTGCGCCAGGAACAGCGGCAGCAGCTGTGCCCAGGTGTGTGCCCATGTATCTCTATGTGTTTCTATGCACTCACCTTGATGCAGGGCAGGATCTGGCCCATGATCACGGCCTCGCGGCAGTCGGGGGACAGGTTCTCGCAGAACTCTGGGGACACCAGAATTGGGGTGAAAAACTCCAAAATTGGGTTTGGGGCATCAAAGTTGGGGTGGAAAACACCAAAATTGGGGTGAAATCTCCAAAATTGGGGTGAAAACATTGAAATTGGGGTGGAAAACACCAAAATTGGGGTGAAAACTCCAAAATTGGGGTGGAAAACACCAAAATTTGGGTGGAAACTCCAAAATTGGGGTAAAACTCCAAAATTGGGTTTGGGGCATCAAAGTTGGGGTGGAAAACACCAAAATTGGGGTAAAACCACCAAAATTGGGGTGAAAACACCAAAATTGGGGTGAAAATATTGAAACTGGAGTGGAAAACACCAAAATTGGGTTGAAGAACGTCAAGGTTGGGTTTAGGGCATCAAAACTGGGGTGAAAAACAGAAAAATTGGGTTGGAGACACCAAAATTGGGTTGGGGACGCCAAGGTTGGGTTGAATTGTGCCAAAATTGGGTTAGGGACACCAAATTTGGGTTGAAGAACATCAAGATCGGGTTGGGGCACCAAATTTGGGTTTGGTCCTCAAAATTGGGGTGAAAAACACTGGAATTGGGTTGGGGACACCAAAACTGGGTTAAAGGACGTCAAATTTGGGTTGGAGACATCAAAATGGGTCAAATAACGCCAAAGTTGGGTTGGGGACATCAAGGTTGGGGTGAAAAACACTGAAATTGGGTTGGGGACACCAAATTTGGGATGGGGGACAGCGAAGTTGAGTTGGGGACACCAAATTTGGGTCAAAGAACACCAAAATTGGGTTGAAGAACATCAAAATTGGGTTGGGGGACACCAAAATTGGGTTGGAGATCTCAAAGTTGGGTTCAAGAACGTCAAAATTGGGTTGAAAAACACCAAAGTTGGGTGGGTGACCCCAAGGACAGGTGAGTGACCCCAAGGACAGGTGAGTGACCCCAAGGACAGGTGAGTGACCCGGGGACAGGTGAGTGACCCCAAGGACAGGTGAGTGACCCCGGGGACAGGTGAGCAACCCTGGGGACAGGTGAGTGACCCTGAGGACAGGTCAGTGACCCCAAGGCCAGGTGGGTGACCCCAAGGACAGGTGGTTGACCCCAAGGACAGGTGAGTGACCCCAAGGTCAGGTGAGTGACCCCGGGGCCGGGTGGGCGTGGCCACTGACCTTTGACCTTGTGGGAGGCGGCCGCCCGCACCTCGGCCTCGCAGTCCTTCATGAGGCTCTGGAAGGCGCCCACCAGGTCGGTCTTGGTGATCTCGGGGCCCACGGCGCGCTGCAGCTGCGGGGACACGGCCCAGGTGCGTCCAGGTGTGCCCAGATGTGCCCCCAGGTGTGCCCAGGTGGCTCCAGGTGTGCCCAGGTGTGGCTCCAAATGTCCCCCAGTTCCCAAAATGCCCCAAACCCCCCAAGACTTCCTAGAACCCATCCCCAGGTGTGTCCAGGTGTGTCCAGGTGTGCCCAAGTGCCCGCCAGGTGTGTCCCCAAATATTCCCCAGAATCCCCAAACCCCCCAAACCTCCCCAGAACCCAAGCCCAGGTGTGCCCCAGGTGCCCCCAGGTGTGCCCAGGTGTCCCCCAGGTGCCCCCTGATGTACCCAGGTGTGCCCAGGTGTGCCCCAGATGCTCCCAGATGCCCCCAGGAGCCACAGGTAACCCCCAAAGTGACCCCCAGGTGACCCCCAGGTAATCCCCCAGAACCATTCATGCTTCCACTGCCACCAACTGCATTGAGTCCTGTCCAGGTGAGCACAGGTGTGCGCAAATGAGCCTCAGGTGTGCACAGGTGAGCCTCAGGTAACCCCCAAATGAGCCACAGGTAATCCCCAGGTAACCCCCAGGTGACCCCAAAGTGACCCCCAGGTGACCCCCCAGAACCATTCAGGCCTCCACCGCCAGCAGCCACACCGAGTCCTGCCCAGGTGAGCACAGGTGTGCACAGGTAACGTCCAGGTGCCGCCAGGTATGCCCAGGTGCCCCCAGACCACCCCCAGCTGCCTCCCAGACCCCTCAGGTGTGCCCAGGTGCCCCCCAGACCACCCCAGCCCCCCCCCCAGGTGTGCCCAGGGGCGCCGTACCTGCTCGTCGGAGGCCAGGTTGGAGAACATGGGGATGATCTCGCTCTTGACGTGCTCCAGCTCCAGCACCTTGGCGAACTCGCCCAGCTTGGAGGCGGCCGCGCGCCGCACCATGGGCGTGTCGTCCGAGCACAGGTTCCGGAAGTACCTGCGGGCACACCTGGGGGTCACCTGGGGGCACCTGGGCACACCTGGGGGTCACCTGGGGGTCACCTGGGCACACCTGAGTACAGCCCAGGGTCACCTGAGTACATCTAAGGGTCACCTATGGGTGTGTTGTCCCACCTGAAATAGCTGTGGGCACACCTGGGCACACCTGGGCACATCTGGGGGTCACCTGGGGGCACCTGGGCACACCTGGGTACAGCCCAGGGTCACCTGAGTACATCTAAGGGTCACCTATGGGTGTGCTGTCCCACCTGAAATAGCTGTGGGCACACCTGGGCACACCTGGGGGTCACCTGGGGGTCACCTGGGGGCACCTGGGCACACCTGGGTACAGCCCAGGGTCACCTGAGTACATCTAAGGGTCACCTATGGGTGCGTTGTCCCACCTGAAGTAGCTGTGGGCACACCTGGGGGGGGACCTGGGCACACCTGGGTACAGCCTGGGGGCACCTGGGCACAGCTGGGATGGGTTGGTGACCCTGTGGTCACCTCAATGACCCCATGGTCACCTCAATGACCCCACAGCCACCTCAGTGACCCCAGGGATGGACTGGTAACCCTGTGGTCACCCCAATGACCCTGTGGTCACCCCAATGACCCCGTGGTCACCTCAATGACCCCAAGGACGAACTGATGACCGCGTGGTCACCACAATGACCCCACACCCACCCCAATGAGCCTGTGGTCACCTCAATGACCCCACACCCACCTCAGCGATCCCAGGGATGGACCAATGACCCTGTGGTCACCTCAACAACCCCATGGTCACCCCAATGACCCCAAGGACAAACTGATGACCCCTTGGTCACCTCAGTGACCCCAGGGATGGACTGGTAACCCTGCGGTCACCCCAATGACCCCGTGGTCACCTCAATGACCCCGTGGTCACCCCAATGACCCCGTGTCACCCCAATGAACCCTGTGGTCACCTCAATAACCCCGTGGTCACCACAATGACCCCAAGGACGAACTGATGACCCCGTGGTCACCCCAGTGACCCCATGGTCACCTCAACAACCCCGTGGTCACCCCAATGACCCCGTGGTCACCCCAATGACCCCAAGGACAAACTGATGACCCCGTGGTCACCTCAGTGACCCCACACCCACCCCAATGACCCCGTGGTCACCCCAATGACCCCGTGGTCACCTCAATGACCCCGTGGTCACCTCAGTGACCCCACAACCACCCCAATGACCCTGTGGTCACCTCAATGACCCTGTGGTCACCCCAATGACCCCGTGGTCACCTCAATGACCCCGTGGTCACCTCAGTGACCCCACACCCACCCCAATGACCCCGTGGTCACCCCAATGACCCCGTGGTCACC